TTCTCTGTAGAAACCACAATTTTGTCCCTGCAAGGGGTTTCACCAGACACTCCCAAAATCTGTGGGCATGTCTCGTGGGCATACCAGACCCCACCGCTCCAGGATTCTAAACACGCTGAACAAAACCTCAATGACTAACAGCCACAGGCCAGGGAACATGGCTGTCAGCGGACAGACACTTCCCGGTTTCCTTGGTATCCGATAAACCCTTTGACACATAAACAGTTCCCACGGGCACCCCAGTAAAGAGTCAATATGTCAATGGTTTGGCAAAGAGGCGGTAAAGGCCTTTCCTACATCCCCCAAGTCCTTTCCCAGCGATCAGTTCAGGGATGAGGGGATGAACACAGTTCTAACTGGAATGAGAAAGAGCACAGCTTGGGGATATCCAAGGCCCGCGATGAAGTCATTCATTCATTCATTCATTCACTCATCAAATATTCACTGCATACCTAGCTAAGGGTCAGATCCTGTTTGGAGCAGTGGGATACAATGGGGAATCAAGAGACAAAAACGTCCCCCTCATGAAGCTGACACTTTATCTGGTAGAGAAATGAATATTAATATCAGGTGCCTAGAAATGGGTGGGGGGAGAGGGGAATGAGGCTGCAAAGGGAGTTAGGGAGTACTGCAGGAGGGGCCAGGGAAGGCTTCTGACACAGCACCCTGAAGAAGGCAAGGGGGCATGGTGCCCGTTCAGAGAGGGAGGCGCGGTGGCAAAGGAAAGGCCTCGCCACCAGCTTATTGCTGCCTGATGGAGCTGCAGGAGGAGGGGCCGGGGCAGCTGGTCCCGAAAGCCCCCTCAGTTCTCAATGCACCCTCCACCCCCTGCTTCCTACCGGCCACCACAGCCGGACGGAACTGAAAACCTGCAGCTTGCAAAGCGCCGCCCTCCTCTTCACCTGAGTGCAGGCGGTTCTTCTGATCCGCCCATGTTCACCCTACGGGCAGCCTTCCCCAGCTTCCACCACCTGCCGCTCCAGGCTGGCCTGGGTGCCATGACTCTAAGTTTCCGTAAGGACCTACACCTGCCCCTATCCCCACCCCGCACAGTGTACCAAGCTGCTGTCATCGTCTACTTGCTCCCTGAGACTAGACTGAACTCCCCAAGGCCTGTGCCCATGACTTACCAATGTCTATGTCCCCACCCCTAGCGTGCCGCTGGGTCTATCAGTCACCCCCTAAACATGGGCTGATGTGCCGAGTGCTGAAGCCACGTTGAGCTCCTTGAGGGCTGGGGCCAGGTCTGATTCATGTTAGTAGCCCTGGGAGGTAGCAGAGGGCCTGAGACAACACAAGCAACACCAGGTAGGCCCACAGATTGGGTCCTGCGCGGGTGTTGGCATCTTATCCAGAAAGCCAAGTCATCCTCGACCCCTGACTGTGGAGGCACAGGGCTGGTCCAGATGTGGTTCTCTGGGGCTTCGGCCGGACTCAGGGTTAGAAAAGCATCACGTATGCTTATATATGCTGTGGGTTTTTCTTATTAGAATCTGCATTAATCACTAACATGCCTTAACCTTGTCTCAAAGCTTCTAGGCCCAGAGATAATTTGGTGTTTGGGGCATGGTTTTTCCAAGCTAATCATTTTACAAATCAAAACCTAACGTGGAGAGTCCTTCAGAGCCATGGGAGGCTGCTTCGGAGGGCAGCTGCTACCCACAGGCCTGGAGTAGGGGTGGCTGGTGCTTCCCATTCCCCCACCCCCCTTTGAACGCCAAAGTAACAAGGGCGTAGGTTTCTCCCTAAGGGCTTCCCATCTTTCCTTGTAGTGCCAGGGGGGGGTAGTTCAAACTTCTTTCAAATAGAACCACAGAGATTGAGAAATAAGTAGATACTATCTAATTCCAATCTTTATGGAGAAAGCAGGGTCTAGAGATGAAATGTGGCAAAGGCCTTGCAAAAGAGATGTGACTGTCTCCACTTGACAGAGGAGTACACTGAGGCACGAAAGCTAAGCAAACAACCCAGGTTCCAGAGCTAGTCAGGAGGTGGCGGAATCATCTGGGTATGCCAGGCCTTGAGGGAAAACACCATCCATGCTACACCCAACTGGTTCAAAGGTGATTTTCCCCAACGCCCCAGAGAAGCTGCGCTGGGGAAGGCCAGGGTCTCCTCTGCCCACCTCCCCTTCCTGAAGCTTCACAGAGCAGCACTGGGGTGGGGGGCGGGGAGCTGCTCAGACGGCAGCATTTCCCACGGACCCTGACCCGCAGTAACGGTGCTCTCGAAAGCTCTGCACACCAGACATTCAGAGGGTTGAGATTTCTGCGTAGCATCATGTAAAAACGCACCTGGCAAAGAGTACCGTCCTCCTTAGAATTTAGCCTCAGGGGTTGTTTCAGGGCAAGATAACCTTAGAGCTAAAAATAAGAGCCCTGGGTTTATATGTTGTATATATGAGTATCTGTGAGTTGTGCACGTCACAATGTGTGTAGTGGTGTGTGCATGGCTGCGTGCGTGTTTGTGCAGTAAGATGGAGGACTAAGGAGGCTCTTCTCTTCCTCCCTCCCTCTTCCCTGCCTCCTTCCCCTCCTTCTTTCCAGAAACATAAAGGCACTATAATTTTTTTCCTCCCCCAAAGATGCAAACAAACATTAGGTCCGAATCCACCCTCACTCCTCACCCCTGCGGAGGAGGTTTCTGGCTATAATCATAGCTGGTGGGAGGTGGTCATGGGGAGTGGGGGCTGTGGGGGACAGCTCCTCCATTAAAGTAGATCTGAAGAAAGGCAGGTTGCTGAAATGGAAATTAGAGTGGGGAAATTATATTCTTTTTCTTTTTTTTTTTCTAAAAGATTTTATTTATTTGACACAGAGATAGAGAGAGCATAAGCAGTGGGGAGCAGCAGGCAGGGGAAAAGCAGGCTCCCCACTGAGCAAGGAGCTCAATGCGGGGCTTGATCCCAGGACACCAGGATCATGACCTGAGCTGGAGGCAGATACTTAACCAACTGGGCCAGATGAACACCTGGCAAACTTTTTTTCTTTAAGGTGATCCTGGCGGGGTTGTTTTTGTGTTCTGAAGAGCAGTACCATGAAAACAACAGACTGTGATCCTGCTGTCAACAAGAAAAGCCTTCAAATCCATTTTCTCCCTTTTATAGGAGATAGAAATTTTATTACTAAAACTCTTAAGATTTGGGTTGATTGGTGGGTTTCTAGCTAAGAACGAGGTAATCAAAATGCATCTCATCAAGTTACTGAGAGAACCGAATGCCGTCTTGTGAGCTTGCCCCAGTGTCCAGCACACAGAAGGCACCAGAAACAGGTCAGCACCTTTATCTTTTCAGAGGCTGTAGAGCACACAGTGCAGAGGGTTGGTTTCAAAATCACCCAGCATTTTTCTCTTGGAAAAAAAAAGAAGGAATAGGAGAAAAATGAACACAGACCCACTCCTCCAAGCACCTTTGCAAACACTGAAATTACATTTGTAAAATTGTTTCCAGACCGGAGTAAAGTATAAAAAAAAAGAAATAGGAAACTAAATATCTTCACTACATTAGCTTTCTAAAAGACAGCAAAAGCAAAACAACAACAACAAATGAAGAAGGGAGGGGAGCACAATTCGTGAATAAATAAAATCCACGTTTGAGGTTTTCCTAGGCTGGGGCCCACCTTTCAGCTCTGTATCCCAGGTAATGGGAAGCCCGAAGGCCTCCGGGCTTGGAAAGGATGGCGAAGGAAAACAAAACAAAACAAAACCCTTCAGCTAGTTTTTCCAAATCCTAATTATGTTTTGTAAGTAAGTCAAAATCAAAACGCTCTTTCTGCAAACAACTTATGCTCCCCTGAGCTACGTCTGACCTCTCAGCGCCTTCTTGCTCTTCATCAAAGGGGCTGAAAGCAGGAAGTGCCTTGGCACAGGGACCTCATTCAAGGGGAGAGGAGAGGCAGGGGACCGCATGTAACTCACAAAGAGAAACAGACCAGCCGCTGTCTGGGCAGCAGCTGGAGACGAGCCCTCGGCCTGCACTGTCCCAGCACCTCTAGGAAATCAGAGCAGACGTGGCCATGGGAAAGGCAACACGGGGTGGGGACAGATCATGGCCCCACCACCAGCTGAGGGACCCCCCAACACACTGCTTAGCCTCCCTGGGGCTTGGTCTCTGGATCCCAGCAGCAGGGATACCCATGTCATGCCTCACTGTGTTATTATGAGATCACGTGTGCTCAGGGAGGCAGAATTATACTGTCACACGTGAAATCACTCCCCATCGCCAGATACTGATAAATTTTTTTTTAAAGATTTTTTTAAATTTATTTTATTTGACAGATAGAGATCACAAGTAGACAGAGAGGCAGGCAGAGAGAGAGGGAGGAGGAAGGAGGCTCCCTGCAGAGCAAAGCGCATGATGCGGGCCTCTATCCCAGGACCCTGGGATCATGACCTGAGCCGAAGGCAGAGGCTTTAACCCACTGAGCCACCCAGGCGCCCCCAGATACTGATAATTTTGAAAGCCTTTCCCTCTGCAGGGGATGGAGGAGGGTTGGTATGGCGAACACCACAAGGAATTTTATGACAGAGCTTGGATGTGAGCATCAGTGCTAGTGCCCGTGTGAATTCTGACCATTCACTTGAATTCTCTGAGCCTTACTTAATAATCCTTTCCCACAAAAGAGATAATACTACTTATAACCTAGAGTGACTGGAAGGGTCAACTGAGTTAAAGGGATGTTCAGAAAACAGTTTTGTTACATTAAAATGTGATACACGTGTCTTCGTCACCTTTTAACTTCAAAATGGGTGCACAGTCCTTATCAAAGAGCCATGATAAGTATTAGTTTTATTTGAAAAATGGGAAACATCTAGAAAGTAAAACAACTTCTACTGACACCATGGCAGAGCTCAAAACAGAACCTCACTTTTCTAGCTAACTTCTCTTTCAAGGATTTCACAACGACAGCTCTCCCTAACTATCCTGAGGGCTCTCCGCTCCGGAGAGATGTGAGCTGTGGCAGGGCCCTGCACTGCACTGGAATCAGAAGGAAGGTACTTACCACCAAATACAGCATAGTGTACATGGAGAAGGAGGCGTGGCCAGAGAAGAAGGACTTCCTGCAAGAGCAAGAGAAGGGCATGAGGGGGCCATATTCACACCCTGACACATGTTTGCCTGTCTGTCTTCCCTCCCTAGACTGTGACCTTGACAGCAGCACTACCTTGTTTAGTTTTGTATCCTTGGTAGTGCTTTGGACACATTGTCTAGAACCTAGCGGGCACCCACGGATGCGTGAGCAAGTGGATGGATGGATGGATGGATGGATGGACTTACCAGTGTTCTACCATAATTGCTTATTTATCAATATATCTAAAAAATTTGACCCTGAGTTCCTTAGGAATGGGGACTGTGCCTTATACACCCCTTGAAACCGAAGCCCAGCCCTGAACTTGGCACCTTGTGCAGTAGGCGCCTTAGTAAGTGTTCCCCAAACCGCCTGCATCCAAGGTGTGCGCACCGTGCCCATGGCAGGTGGCGACTCACCTGGCTTCCTGGACTTTGCTGTCGTCCCCTCTGCATTTGTAGTTTTGGATGTAGCCCTCGGAGCAGTTGATCTGGCTGAAATCGGGGTTGCAGACGCTCAAGAAGTGAGGACGCAGGCGGCCTATGGAGACTTTGGCAATGTCTGTGAAGGACTGGCTGATGGCACAGCCAAAGAGGAAGCAGCCCACCTGCTTATAGAGGGCTGCCACATAGGGATTCTGAATTGTTGACCGGGACTTCTCCTTCAGGTAGTAGATGCGGTAGAACTCCCCAGTGATGATCTGAAAGGAAACCAATAGGGGAGTTAGGCAGTATGAAAGTGGATGTTGTAAAGGATAGTTACCGACGGAAGAGAATGTTCTGTGTATAACTGCTGGCTATAACCTAGGAAGTCTCAATTTTCGGGACACCTGGGTGGCTCAGTCAGTTAAGCAGCTGTCTTCGGCTCAGATCATGATCCCAGGGTCCTGGAATCGAGCCCCACATTGGGCTCCCTGCTCAGCAGGGAGTCTGCTTCTCCCTCTCCCTTTGCCCCTCCCCCCCTCGTGTGTAACCTCTCTTTCTCTCTTTCAAATAAATAAATAAAATCTTTTAAAAAATCTCAATTTTCTATTTGAGAAATACATGGACAGAAATATGCACGGGAGAAAACATAGGAGTGCTAACATGGTCATTTTTCCCTTTTTGAAAAAGTCCCACATGGCCCTATAGTATCTTTGTAAAAACAAAAATATACAAATATATTTATACATATACAAATATAATATTAAATATATATATTATATATCATAGTTATATGTATTTTTTTTTTTTTTTTTAAGTTAGAAAAGGATGTCACAAGTATGTAGTGATATCTCATTGCGACTTTAATGTGCCTTTCCCTGTGACTAACAGAGTTCAGCACGCTTTATGTTTATCTTCCATTTGTATATCCTCCATAATGAAGTTTTAAAAATGGGTTGGCTTTTTTTCTATTTCTGCCTTAGTTCTTAATTACAAATGTGTGTGACTATTTGATTTTATACATTCTCCTCTAGCCTATAAACTCCTTAAAACTGACATCCGGTTCCTTTAATCCACAGTCTTATCTTATGTGTTTGCTAGTGCTCGGGACACAGTAGGTAATTAATCCTAATCGACGAGTAATTGAAATGGTTTGGACATGAATCCCAGAGTTGTCTGTACTATGGCATGGCTCCGCCTCTCCTTAAGTCTCCAGGAAATGGGATTATTTCTTCTTGAGACCAGCTGAGTCTGTCCAGTGCTACTGGAAAGTTGTGATGGGAAGACTGGAGGATTAGCAGTATGGGACACTTGGGGATTGGTCTCCCAGTCCCTCCTCTCACTTGCTGTGTGTCCTCCTTTATCCCCTTCCCCCAGCAAGTTATTTTGTCTATCTGGACCTTTGTTCCCCTAGATTTGTAAGGAAGATTTGGATTCTGACCTCAAGGATTGCCCTGGCTGCATCCTGGGGCCCAATGAAACATTTCTGCTTACAGGAAAATGCTGGGAAAGTGCTGAGCTAATATCAGGGCCTGAGCGGGCTTGTCTAGAAGTGAAGAGCTGACTGATCTGGGTGGCAGGAGCTACGAGCCACATGGGCTTATTCCCGTAGCCTGAAATCAAATGAAGTTTGCCTGGTTGGATTTTGAAATTGTGTGCTAACCATGGCTTCTTTTTTTCTGTCCATTTTCTCTTTTGAAGAAGAATGTCTGTTATTCTATGCCTATCCCCTCACTGAATTTGGGGAGCAGCTGACTTGTTTCACAGGCTTACTGATGGAGGGCAATTATGCCTCAGAACGGATTCAACCCCGCACCTCATCTTTACCTGTTTTAGATGATCTCGTTTCAATGATGAGATCTGAGACTCTGAAGTTCAAAATTAGGTAAGATTTTGGATTCGAGCTGATACCGTGCGTTGAAACCTTGTGTGATGTTGGGACCCAGTGAAAGTATTTCGCGTGTGGGCTGGATATAAATCTTTGTGGCCTGGAGGGTGAACTGTAGTAGGCAGTATGACCCTCGCTTCCCCTAAGTTGTCCATGTTGCAATCCCTAGGGACTACGTATCTGCTATGCACCATGCCAAGGGGGAATTAAGGAGGAGATGGGATGAAGGTTACTAATCAGCTGACCTTAACATAGGTAGAAAAGGTGGGCCCAACATAATCACCAGGGCCTAAATGTGGAAGAGGTGGAAGAAACGGAGATTCAGAGACAGAGTGAGCAGGACTTGGCCCAGCGCTGCTGCCTTTGCTGGTGAAGAAAGAAGGCCACAAACCAAGGTATGCAGATGGTCTCGAGAGGCTGGAAAAGACCAGGAAACAGCTTCTGCCCTAGGGCCTCCCAAACTGCCAGATAATAAATCTGGGCTGTTTTAAGCCACTACGTTTGTGATAACTTGTTGCAGCAGCAATAGGAAATGAATACAAGTCCCGGCCAGCAGCTGACTCCTCCAGGATCTTAGACAAGTCGTTTGATCTTTGCATTCCTTCGTATTCCTCATTTCTCAAAATAAGAACTGCCATTGGGATCAAAAGTGACAAACAGGCAGAAGTGCCTGGCACACAGGTGCGTGTTGAAGGAGAAATTTCTAGCTTCCCTGCTCCTCTCTCGGCTGGGCAGGCACCAGGAGAGAAAGCAAGGGTCAGCTGCCATTCTCCCTGGAGCGCCCTCCACCCTGCTTCCTTTGATGTATAAAGGGCTCCCTTGGGAGCTCCCCAAGCACACATTATCTGGAGCACTGCTCCTTATCTGCCTTTGGGGGGCCCACAGCTCCTCCCTCCCGACAAAACCCCTTTAGAATACAAAAGCTCTTTAGAAGGGTCCGAGACAGAGCAGAGGCAGAGCCTTGCTGGGCAAACAGGCTTTCAGAGATGAAAGAGCAGCTCAGACAGCTATGGCAGTCCTATGGCCACCATATTTCCCATTGGAAGGATCTGGTAGTGGTGCCCTGAGGTGAGGCTGGCCTATTTAAAGACCTCAGATCGCCCACAGTCCCCCTTCCTCCTACCACACACCGGAGACAACACATCCCTCGAACATTCTAGGATTCCAACTCCTTCATTAGTTGTGTTATGAGCTTTTATTTAAAAAGCACATTTAATACAAGTATAGTTTCGCAGATACAAGTTTTCACTTTGTATTCTACAAAAGTCTTTGAATAGTATTCTCTTTACAAAATGGAACCTTACAAAAATACTGACACTTTAATGTTTTTATACAGTTTTCTCTAGTTGTAGTTATTTCTTTCATTGTAAAACAACGTCTACCACAGAACTACGGTATTTTAGTTGATATTAAAAAAAAAATAACTCAATGCTTTTTTAAGCAGCTAATGTAAATAACACAGGTCGAGACACAGTTTATAATCATAGTGGATATAGCTAAAATTGTTTCAGAAATAATATCTTACATAGTTAACTTTTAATGTTTTATACATTATTTATATAATATTTATATATAAAAATCATAGCTTGCTAGGAGTTGAAATGAAAGGACGGCTTCTGTAGTAAGGCTATGCGCGTGGTTGATCCATGTGGTTACACTTAGCCCTTTGAAAGGTCTGCATCCGTGATCGAAAAGCCTTTCTTCCTTCCTCCTTTCCTCCAAGGTTCAGTAGAAAGGATCCCTGTCTACTGCCTAGAGTGAGGCCTTGCTTGGAAGGACACTTATGGATAGAGGATGGGAAAAACTCTACGGAGATTTAACCCATGTGTTCTGCCCAGCAGAACCTACCAAGAACTGCCCTAGAGATCAACCCCAAGACAATAGTGCTTTACACAGCTTAGCAAGAGCAGCACCCACAGAGACCCTCGTCAGCTCCGAGATCTGGAAGGGTAGCCTCTCAGGCGTGAGACTGTCTGCTACTCTGGCTCATTCTGACTTCGAGTAGCCAAAAGCTTGGTGGGTTTTTTCATTCTTGCCCCTTCACTCCCATGTCTCTTGTGCATAAGGCTGCTTTCCATTAGCTGGCGGCAGAGCATGCCTTGACTCGTGTCCGGACCCTCCCAGGAAACCCTGGCGGGCACACAGCAAGGGCCTCGAGGGAGAAAGCAGTGACGGAAGCTAACTAACTATTATCCGAGGGCGTGCAGGTGCTGGGTGACTGGTGAACACAACAGAGGCCTCCCGTAGCCGACGGTCCCCCACGACAGCAGGACGCGGCAAAAGAAGACAAAGGAGGGCCAGCACCCTCGAGCTCTTCTGAAATTGTGCTATTTGCGAAATTCACTCATCCACAAAGAGTCTCCTAATCACTAACGTGAGGGGCTGTGGTTGCTGGCCTGTGGGCCGGGGGAGTGAGGGCTGAGGCCTCAGGAATGGGAGCTGGGACTCAGGATCAAATCACCTGGCGTAGAAAACCTGCTCTTTCCTTAGATTTAACTTCCTGAACCGAAGTCACAGTACAGAACAGAGTGGTGTGGACAGAGAGACACGAGAGAGGAGCCCCCCATGGCTATTTTCTTGATTCAGTGCTATTTCTGGCATTGTGTGCTACAATGGGAATTTGAGCTTTTTCTCACAGGCCTGGGATTCCTCGGGTCGCAAGGGTGATCGGCAGACTCTATGCAAATCATTTTTTAGTGTTTGTTCCAGAACAAGCCCGTGTTCACTAGAACATGAACACTTAAACCAATTGCACATCCAGGATTTCGGCACTTGGTGTTAATCTGCTGTTGTTTCCACATAGGTGAACGCTACCTATTTTGGAAGGCCACAAAGTAAGACTTTTTTTTTTTCCTTTTTAAAATCGGTTGGGCAAAAAGTTTTTCCCTACATTCTACTGTCTGATGAGATTGAAGAGCAGCAAGAACTTGCTGTCAGCAGTCATTTCATAAAACAGCTCAGGAGGTGGGCGGCACCTACACCATGTTGTGGTGATTGTTCCTGTCAATAACGTCCACAGGTGAAAGGATTTCCTTCCGGAGAGCTGAGGGAGGCAGGGAGAGTGTCGTCTTGGTCTTGAAGAGGTCGGACACAAAGAAAACCTACAAGCACAAAATCAGACATCCGAATCAGAAATCTGGGGTCTGGGGTCTGGGGATAGGCAAAGGGAAGGTCACAGGAGCACAGACTTTGGGAAAAGGGGACCCCAAACCGTAGAACTTTGAATAAGGAAGGATCACATAAAGATCACATATATAATATATTCCAACTTGTGTTCTACAGCTAGAGAAACTGAAGCCCAGGGAAGGACAGTGACATGCCCCAGATTGCACAGCTGTGGCAGGAGTAGAACTCAGTTCTCTGGACCCTCAGTCCAGTGTTCCATATCCGAAACCCTATTTCCTTAATTTCTCAAGGCAAATAAATAGTGATGAAAAATAAGTTCTTAAACAAGGAAGCAAATCGTAATTAGTCACATTCATTAATCCATGATACTTTCCCTTTCCCCATAAAGAAATCTAGGGTGTTGACCACAAGAGATCAGCCAACATGAATTCCTATCAGCAGGACTGGAGAAGGAAGCAGTTGTGACCATGTTTTCCTGAAAGCCCAGAGAGTTCAACAATTTGATGGGGGTGAAGGAGCTGGGGTTTTGTGGCTGAGGGAGAGTCAGCAACTAACCCGGGGGAGAGGTCAATGAAAACTCCTATCGCTCCTTCCCAACGTCCTTCCTCCTTGTGAACAAGACCTCACACAGTCTTAGAATCACTGAGGAACATTCACTGAACATCCAACATGTAGGGCTACGGAGATGGCTCATGCGTAGTTCCTGTCTCAATCAGCCGACGACGACAGATTCAAGAACTTGATGAGTTGGTGTAGTAAGAAAACTTTGTGCTTTGTATTAGATGGCAAAGTAAACATGCAGGCATCCTTTTCAGCCACTCAGCAACAGGAGTTTCTATTGAGTAAACCGTAAGAGGCAGCTATCAGTCACATCCTTTAATAGGAAACACATGCCTGGGTTTCAGAATGGAGACTAGAACACCCTTAACAATTTCCTTATGTCTAGCAGCTTTCTGGATTGAGATATCCTTGTCCTGCAGCGGGTCATGTGCTCACTAATGGTGATGGTACTGTGACTTCGGACACAGTATAGGCTGGCAAGTGACATTCTTAATTTAATAAGACTTTATCAACACCAAGGTTCGGAGCGGCCAAGGCCCGGCCATCATAGGGACTTGGATCACCTGCTGAACCAATTTCCAAAATGTCCTTTCTGGAGAAATACAGCAATCAACAAAAGGGCCCCAAAAATCACAGCAAGAAACTGGCGATGACGGTTATTCAGGAGCTCAAGTGACTAGAAGACAAACGGGAAGCAGAGACTCACCAGCCACGACAAAACTGTGACACCTTTTGCATTTTGTACCCAGGTCACAGATCACCTACTCAAACATTTGCAGTCCAAGAGCTACTCCATTTTACAAAGGAAAAAAATGAAGCCTTCTCTCCCTTTCCTTTCCAAGGAGGTATCAACAGTGAAAGAACTAAGAGCCAAGGCAAGAAAAGATTTGGACCCAACCCTGCTGGGAGGTTCTAGGCCCCTGGGCCGGAGATCCTTTATACACATCTGGAGAAGAGGCTTTCAAGTGCTCCTGGGATGAGGAAATACTAAGGAACACAATTAAAGTTAAACGCGGAGATAATTAAACTTTCAACTCTTGGCTGACAGGTACAGAGTCAGTGTCCCCACTTCTACCGGGAAACTACCCTCCCTTCCTCCTTAACTTTGTCTCTGAGGGTGTCTTCAATTAACCCCTCCATGGCTGACTCCCAGCTGCACTTGATCCTGCCCAGCAGCTGGCCTCACCAAATAAGGTCTCTTACTGCTCCCCGTTTCTCAGAGATCTTTCTCCCAGCTTCACTCCAT